GTTCAGTTCTAGTTCAGTTCAGTTCTAGTTCAGTTCTAGTTCAGTTCTAGTTCAGTTCAGTTCTAGTTCAGTTCTAGTTCAGTTCAGTTCTAGTTCGGTTCTAGTTCAGTTCTAGTTCAGTTCTAACAGTTATAGTTCAGTTCTAGTTCTAGTTCAGTTCTAGTTCAGATCTAGTTCAGTTCTAGTTCAGTTCTAGTCCAGTTCTAGTTCAGTTCAAGTTCAGTTCTAGTTCAGTTCTAGTTCAGTTCTAGTTCAGTTCTAGTTCGGTTCTAATTCAGTTTTAGTTCAATTCTAGTTCAGTATGTACTTGTTATGTTGTAGTTCTAGTTCTGTTGTATTTCCAGTTCTGTTGTAGTTCTAGTACTGTTGTATTTCTAGTTCTTTTGCAGTTCAGTTTTAGTTCAGCTCTAGTTCAGTTCTTGTTCAGTTCTAATTCAGCTCTAGTTTTTGTTCAGTTCCAATTTAGTTCTTGATTAGTTCTAGTTCAGTTGTAGATCATTTCCAGTTCATTTCTAGTTTATTTTTTGTTAAATTTTTGTTCACTTCTAGTTCATTTCTAATTCAGTTCTAATTATGTTTCAATATTATTTTTCTTAACAGCTAAAAACTTTTTAACAAACATTTCATTAAAAAATTCCAAGCAATAAAATTTTATTTTTTTTTTTTTTTGTATTTCTCCATAGATTTACAGTTTGGAAAAGGATGCTGAGGGCTCTATACGGTGTCATAAACGTGCTGAAATACCCCCACTTAAGGATGTCCAAATAACCTGCCTTACCGCCTCCGATAATGCAAAACTTTTGGCCATTGGACTCGATACAACATCGTCTAATGGTTTTCGTTCTTGTGGTGACATCGAGTTATTTAAACTCAACGATGACTACAAGCCTCAATTAATATTCTGTCTCAAATCCCATGTAAGACCCATAAATGATCTAAAGTTTTCACCCCAAAATGAGGTGTTGGTCAGTGTGGCAGAACAAATTTGCTTTTGGAATATCAATTATGTGCTAAATAATCCATTGGATGTGGGCAGCAAAAAAAGACACAGTTCACGTTTTACTTCACAGAAAAGTGCCGAAGAAGTGGATTTTAAGGGAGCGCTTGAGGGTCAACAGCAAAGACGGGATCGTTTTTTGAATATACAACAGAAATTTCTTGCCTCATTGGACTCTTCAACTCATAAACTGGGTCATAGTGCTAACAGTAGTCATACTAATAGTATGGAACAATCGGTTTGTTCGGATGATCTTAACGATGATAGTGTCTTCAGTAATAGTGTAGATAAGAATGATGAGGACAGCTGGTCTTATTTAATGGGACCCAGTGATAAGCCTGAGCTGCTATCTTGCCTTAAGCTGGATGGCAATGAGGCCAAACAAATTTTTGCCAATAAAAATTTTACACAATTCTTTACCATCGATAATGAGGGTGTCTACTACAATCTGCAGCGCCTAAAGCCTTCTAATCCAGCCCCGGCAGAAGAAGATGTCGATATGCCCGATTCCACATCATCTTCCATAAATTTGGATTATTTGGATGTACACCGTTTATCCGTTGCCTCCTCTACTATGTCCGGCACAGATGTTGTGGATACTGCCAATAATAATAATAATACATGACTATTAACTATACGTACTTACTTTCTAAATGCTCAACATCTAACATCTCTTAAGCATTTTTTAACATCTTTCATAATTTTATCTTGTTATTATTATTTAGTCATGTATTTATGCATTTTTGATAATGTGATATTTTCATAATGATGAAACACACTCATAATAAGAAGTTTGAGAAAACTTCTTTAATGCAATTTATATTAAAAAAATTTTTGTTTTAAAAACACTTTTTTTTGTAATCATTATTAGAACTGATTAAGTTTAAAAGTCATTTTTATAATTATGTTTTATGTTTAATACCTAAATGTTTTCCACCACCTATCTTATTATTACTATTAATAATTCTATGTTTGTATTTTGTACATCAATTATGTATTAACAAAATTTAATAGTTTTTCTCTCTATTTACATATTTACTTTAAATAAAATATATATTTTTTATATATTTCAAATTTAAATGGTGTTTGATTCATATAAATGCAGTTCAGTTCAAGTTAAGTTCATGTGTACTACAGTTCTAGGTTTTAAGGTTTTAGTTATGTTCCAGTTAAGCTCCAGTTTAGCTTTAGTTCAGTTTTAAATCCATTCTAGTTCAGTTGTAGATCAGTTCGGTTCTAGTTCAGTTCTTATTCAGTTCTAATACAGATCTAGTTCAGTTCCAGTTCAGTTATTGTTCAGTTCTAGTTCAGCTCTAGTTTAGTTCAGTTCTAATACAGTTCTAGAAGAGTTCTATTTCAGTACCAGTTCAGTTCTAGTTCAGTTCTAGCTCAATTCTTGTTCTGTTCTTGTTTAGTTTTAATTCAGTTCTAGCTCAATTCTTGTTCTGTTCTTGTTTAGTTTTAATTCACTTCTAGTACAGTTCTAGTTTAGTTTTACATCTAGTTCAGTTCTGCTCCTAGTTCAGTTCTAGTTCAATTCTAGTTAAGTTCTAGTTCAGTTCTAGTTCAATTCTAGTTCAGTTCTAGTTCAGTTCTAGTTCAGTTCCAGTTCAGTTCTGGTTCAGTTCTACTTCAGTTCTAGTTCAGTTTTACTTCAGTTCTAGTTCAGTTCTAATTCAGTTCTAGTTTAGTTCTTCAGTCTGGTTCAGTTCTACTTCAGTTCTAGAAGAGTTCTATTGCAGCCCCAGTTCAGTTCTAGTTCAGTTCTACTCCTAGTTCAGTTTATTTCTAGTTCAGTTCTAGTACAGTTTTAGTTCAGTTCTAGATCACTTCTAGTTCAGTTCTAGTTCAGTTCTAGCTCAGTTCTAGTTCAGTTCAGTTCCAGTTCAGTTCTAGTTCAGTTCTAGTTCTAGTTCAGTTCTAGTTCAGTTCTAGTTCAGTTCTAGTTCAGTTCTAGTTCAGTTCTAGTTCAGTTCTAGTTCAGTTCTAGTTCAGTTCTAGTTCAGTTCTAGTTCAGTTCTAGTTCAGTTCTAGTTCAGTTCTAGTTCAGTTCTAGTTCAGTTCTAGTTCAGTTCTAGTTCAGTTCTAGTTCAGTTATAGTTCTGTTCTAGTTCAGTTCTAGTTTTCTAGTTCAGTTCTAGTTCAGTTCTAGTTCTGTTCTAGTTCAGTTCTAGTTCAGTTCTAGTTCAGTTCTAGTTCAGTTCTAGTTCAGTTCTAGTTCAGTTCTAGTTCAGTTCTAGTTCAGTTCTAGTTCAGTTCTAGTTCAGTTCTAGTTCAGTTCTAGTTCAGTTCTAGTTCAGTTCTAGTTCAGTTCTAGTTCAAGTTCTAGTTCAGTTCTAGTTCAGTTCTAGTTCAGTTCTAGTTCAGTTCTAGTTCAGTTCTAGTTCAGTTCTAGTTCAGTTCTAGTTCAGTTCTAGTTCAGTTCTAGTTCAGTTCTAGTTCAGTTCTAGTTCAGTCTAGTTCAGTTCTAGTTCAGTTCTAGTTCAGTTCTAGTTCAGTTCTAGTTCAGTTCTAGTTCAGTTCTAGTTCAGTTCTAGTTCAGTTCTAGTTCAGTTCTAGTTCAGTTCTAGGTTCAGTTCTAGTTCAGTTCTAGTTCAGTTCTAGTTCAGTTCTAGTTCAGTTCTAGTTCAGTTCTAGTTCAGTTCTAGTTCAGTTCTAGTTCAGTTCTAGTTCAGTTCTAGTTCAGTTCTAGTTCAGTTCTAGTTCAGTTCTAGTTCAGTTCTAGTTCAGTTCTAGTTCAGTTCTAGTTCAGTTCAGTTCTAGTTTAGTTCTAGTTAAGTTCTCAGTTCTAGTTCAGTTCTAGTTCAGTTCTAGTTTTCTAGTTCAGTTCTAGTTCAGTTCTAGTTCAGTTCTAGTTCAGTTCTAGTTCAGTTCTAGTTCAGTTCTAGTTCAGTTCTAGTTCAGTTCTAGTTCAGTTCTAGTTCAGTTCTAGTTCAGTTCTAGTTCAGTTCTAGTTCAGTTCAGTTCTAGTTTAGTTCTAGTTAAGTTCTAGTTCAGTTCTAGTTCAGTTCTAGTTCAGTTCTAGTTTTCTAGTTCAGTTCTAGTTCAGTTCTAGTTCAGTTCTAGTTCAGTTCTAGTTCAGTTCTAGTTCAGTTCTAGTTCAGTTCTAGTTCAGTTCTAGTTCAGTTCTAGTTCAGTTCTAGTTCAGTTCTAGTTCAGTTCTAGTTCAGTTCTAGTTCAGTTCTAGTTCAGTTCTAGTTCAGTTCTAGTTCAGTTCTAATTAATTTCTAGTTCAGTTCTAATTCATTTCTAGTTCAGTTCTAGTTCATTTCTAGTTCAGTTCTAGTTCAGTTCTAGTTCAGTTCTAGTTCAGTTCTATTTCAGTTCTAGTTCAGTTCTAGTTCAGTTCTAGTTCAGTTGTAGTTCAGTTGTAGTTCAGTTGTAGTTCAGTTGTAGTTCAGTTGTAGTTCAGTTCTAATTCATTTCTAGTTCAGTTCTAGTTCAGTTCTGGTTCAGTTCTAGTTCAGTTCTAGTTCAGTTCTAGTTCAGTTCTAGTTCAGTTCTAGTTCAGTTCTAGTTCAGTTCTAGTTCAGTTCTAGTTCAGTTCTAGTTCAGTTCTAGTTCAGTTCTAGTTCAGTTCTAGTTCAGTTTTAGTTCAGTTTTAGTTCAGTTCTAGTTCAGTTCTAGTTCAGTTCTAGTTCAGTTCTAGTTCAGTTCTAGTTCAGTTCTAGTTCAGTTCTAGTTCAGTTCTAGTTCAGTTCTAGTTCAGTTCTAGTTCAGTTCTAGTTCAGTTCTAGTTCAGTTCTAGTTCAGTTCTAGTTCAGTTCTAGTTCAGTTCTAGTTCAGTTCTAGTTCAGTTCTAGTTCAGTTCTAGTTCAGTTTTAGTTCAGTTTTAGTTCAGTTCTAGTTCAGTTCTAGTTCAGTTCTAGTTCGGTTCTAGTTCAGTTCTAGTTCAGTTCTAGTTCAGTTCTAGTTCAGTTCTAGTTCAGTTCTAGTTCAGTTCTAGTTCAGTTCTAGTTCAATTATAGGTTCTTGTTCGCTAGACAACACTTTTCACATTCGCTCCATATTGACTGATGATTTTATTTAATTATAGATTTTATTTTAAAATAATAACGTAATTAAATTCTTAAATTAGAAAAGTTTTGTTAATTAATTAAACAACATACACTTACAAAAAGGACATGCATATTAAAATACATTAAAAAAAACTTTTTTTTTAATAAAAAAATAATTTGTTTCTTAAAAATTGATTTTAAATCATTTAGGTCATAAACAAATAAATAAACGAATACACTTTCAAACGTGTAAACTTAAAATATAAAGTAATAAATTCTTAAAAAAATAAAGATAATTAAACTAAAATACTAAAAATAAATGGTGACAGTGCTTAAGCACTTTTAATTACAAATAAAAAATTTTAAAATAAACAAATTTCTAATGTTAATTAGAATTACTATTGTTAGTTAACACATTTCTAACATTACTTACAAATAATACTTTTTTATAATTAAACAACTTTCTAAAATTAATTAGATATAATACTGTTATTTAACGTATGTTTGGATAAATTCGAAGATAAACCAGTTAATTGATCGAGAATTTCTATAAAAAAAACAGAAAAATAAGTGTTACAAATTGTATAAGCTTGGCAAATTGTAGAATTAATTTACCACTTATTTGTAAACTGTCCGAATTGTTTTTGTATACTGTGTAAATTTGTTCAGTTTCACTAGTTTTTTGTCGCTTAAACAAAGCGGTACGTAAACTTTCCTCTAAAAACAAATGAAATAATATTAGCAGTTACTAAAAAGAACGACAAATCAGTCATTTCAAACTATTATAAAGGTTATATAATGGCAACATTAACAAATTCACTTACTTCTGCGTAAACTGGCACGTTGTGTTGTTGCGGTTGGTACAACTTTAGCTATTGGCTGACCTGTACTTGTGCTTTTGGATGGAGTTGCTACTTGTTCTGTTGTTGTATTTAACTTTGAATAATTCGCCTTTAAAGAATCATTTAACAAACGCTGTTGTCTTCGATTTTCCATGGGTGTATTGTTATTATACAATATACTACGTATAGAGGGTGAAATACCAATAGAGGCAAACATTTTCTGTGAATCACTCAAGTCTTCTGACATTATAAACATTTGTGATTTATTTGCCACACCATTGGCGCCTTTATCGCCCAGCTCATCAATAAATTTACGTAAAATAGAACGTAAAATTTTAAAACGTTTTAATATTCTAGCTGGTTCCAGCTTTTCGGTGGTGCATTTCAAAACTGCCTGACATTCTAGCAGCATTAAGTGAAACTTCTTAAATAATTCCAAACGATCAGCTTCTTTTTGTAATTCTTTATTATTTACGGGTAATTGAAAGTGTTCATAGAGGAATTCTGCCATTTTTATAATATTCTCTAGAGAATCCCTGTTATATTCTTTGTCATTTTGATTAATGACTTGTGTTAAGAGTTCATAATAGCAGGAAGCAAATGCTTGACTATCGATAATCTCTTGTATGGCTTTTTTAAAATTGGCAACTTCTTCATTGAAATGTTGTTCCAGAAGTTGGGCAAAGATATCAGCAGTGCCCTTAGTAGATTGTAGCGAAGGTATGATACAAGAATCTAAGGATTCAAATGAAGCTAAACAGCTGCGTACAATAGTTTTAACTGAAAATATACATAGGTTTTTTGTTCAGTTTTAATGCATTTCTAGTTTAGTTCTAGTTGGGTGCTATTTTACTAAACTTACTTTTTACATTCGGTGCAAATGCTATTGCAAATATACCAATTTGTGTTGTCCTATCAACATTCACATCAAAATCTGCTATCAATTCATCCAATAAAGGATCGTCGGCATGACGTTCCCTTATCATTGTTCTCAATTTATCTATGGAAAAGTTATTAAAATCTAAAAAGCAAGTATAAACCAAACGTAAAAGTGCTTCATTGATATAATCTTCCAATTGATATAAAGCATTTTCCAATGATATTGCCTTTAATTTACGATTACTATCGTTGTGTTGGGCGCCTGGCAATAGGGCAGCCTTGCATTCTTCCTGAAATGCCATACACTCACGTAAAACCTTCTGACACAGAGCACTTAAGGCCTTTTTGTCCTGCTGCAAAGCCACATTGGCAAATGCCAATGTATGACTAAGTATAAAGTCAACAATGGAACGTATTTGTTGACTGGCAAACATGGCCTCTGATTGATTTTCAGCTAAATTTAAACATTTTTGTGTGGCAGCGGTTTGAGATTCATCTTTATAGCTGCTGTAGGGAGCCAAAAGATCTAAAACCATATCCATTAGTTCCACAAAGGACCTTTCCTCTGGGATGGTTAATTTTTTGGGCTCCTCACGATTCGACAAGAATTTTAAACAACTACGCAAACGTTCCAGACACCAGTTTATACGGTCTAAGAAATGTTGACGTGAAGCCTAGGAAATTCTTTATAATGAGCAATAATTGTTAAATTTATTATTTTTCTTACAATTACCGATATTGCGGCACCCTGTCGCTCCTCAGCCTTAAGAGTATTTTCCAAGTGTTTGATACAGGTCATAATTTGGGTCAAACATAAGTACACAATCTCGATTTGTTCATGATTTTTATCATATTTCTTTTGCTCCTGCACCCGTGACAAGAATGTATGCAAATTTTGTGAAAATTTCAAAAATTCTAAACAAAATGTCTAAAACAAAGAGAATTTTTAAGAAAAGATTTTTTACTGTGACCAAAACATGCTTGCTTACATTTAACCAGTTTAATCTGCTGTTCTGTACATTTGTGTAGCCTTTATTTAACAAATTGCGGCATTTAACTAATTGTCTTTTTAATTGCTCCGAGCAATTTTCCATTTTTGTATATGATTTTTGTTTTATTTTTAAATCAAAATTAAATTTTCATAAATTCCGCGCAATTTTATAGATGCTGTTGCTGTTTTTATTTGAAATTTCGGTTTTCAAGGCGAATTTAATAAGGTTACAACAGCATTGATTTGATGAATTTTCATTATCTAAAGTTTGACATTTATAAATTAGCGAGTACATTTTTTATACGCGCGTTTTGACATTTTCAAGTTGAAATTGTTAAATACAGTTGCCTTGCTGCTAACACCTGATGTAAATTTGTTTTGAATTCTGTTTAACCTGCACGCAAGGTTGTATTAGAAAGTACTAGCAGTACTTAATAGTATTGGAGTGGCAACACTTGTTATTATGATGTGGTAACATTAGCATGAAGGATAATAATTTTATAATTTTACTGGATTTTTTAAAAGGAAAATCATACATTGTATAATACATTTTGTATAATGGTGATAAACTCTTTAAACATGATGATGACTATATGTTAGTGGCATGTTCGCTAACTGGTTAACAGTGATGCACATTATTCCTACAAATCGCTCATATACAAGGATTATAATTGCAAATAAAAAAATAAAGAAAATAATTATTTTATAGTAATTAGAAATATGTATATATGCACTTTATTATATATTCGATATTTGAGATTTACTAAAAATAAGGTTATATCGGTACATGTTATTAAAATATACTATTGTGAAGACTATACTTGATTCAGCGTATCAAAATATTGCTTATTATAAATATATTGAGTTGTATTAAAAATCATGAATAAAAAAAATTTCAAAATACCGAATTTTCGAAATATTTTTTATTAAATTTCGTTGAAAATTATTAAAAACAAAGCAAAAACTTGGACGGCTTACAGCCATCTACAAAACGTCGCCAACATTTTTACTGTCAATCACCACCGACGCCGTTAACATTTGTCGGCGCAGGTCTCTACTAACAACGTCAAAAAAAATTGATGATTATTTTTTTGGAGGATTTTCTTTTAAACATAAAAAAAACATTTTTTCTTAGAAATTTCAATTGGAATTAAACCAAAAACAGCAAAAAAAAATAATGTGCTAAAAATTCACAAAAACCAAGTTAAAAAAGTAGTGTGTAATTCAACAGGAAAAGCTCTCCTTAAGCCATAAAATTGTTAAAATATTTTCTTTAGCAGCAGTCGTAGCAAATAAAAAAAAAAGGAAAAAAGCCACAAAAGAGCAGTAGCAAGACACAAAAAGCAGCAGAATATGAGTTCGTCAACGACCACCAGCCGCAAAGAAACGGAAAGGACCAAACTTATACAGGAAAAATGTCAAACATTATTAACACAAATGCTAAGAGATGAGGACAACAAATACTGTGTAGATTGTGATGCCAAGGGTGAGTCAATTAACTTAAGAAAAACTGGACATACGTTTTTGCTTTGGGAAATCTTTTCTTTTTTTTTTTATTATTTTTGTCTTTGTTGAATGTAAATCATATGTTTTAGAGCTGGGGGAGGGTTATGGGGGAGAGGGAGTGTGTGTTATTATGTGCGTGTGCGTTAACCATCTTTACCACAACCACCAAAAAATATTCGTTAGTTAGAAATAACTATTGCATGAAAAATAATAGATAACAAGTGTTTGCAAAATTTTTTATATTGACAAATACTTGTGTTCATCACCGTCATATGTTTGTATGGATTGTATATGGGATACGTGCTAACAAATAAACACGTTTGCAATACCTATAAAATATTTGTAGCCCTACGATACTATTGTGGAAAACATATATCTAGTCTATAGTTCGGTTTACATTTTGCTCTAGTTTGAAATTTAGTTAGTTTGTAGCCTAATTTACTTTAATTTTAGTGTAAAGTTTATTCTATAGTTTAGTATAGGTGTAGTAGTTGTAGTTGTAAAGTCTGATCAATAGTTTATTCCATAGTTTAGCCAACATTATAGTCTATTGTATTATCGAATCTATAGCGTAGACTGTGGTTTAATAAGTTTATAGATGTGTATATACTATTGTCTTTAGTCTATAGTCCAAGCTATAGTCTAGTCTATAGTGTAATCTATAGTGTAGTCTATAGTCTAGTCCTTTGTCTAGTCTTTGGTCTAGTCTGTAGTGTAGTTTATAGTCTAGTATATAGTCTGCAGCCTATTGTATAGTTTAGTCTATAATCTAGTCTAGAGTTTAGCCGCATGCTAGTTTATAGTTAGTCTATACAGAGAAGTCTATAGTCTAGTCAAAAGTTAAGAATGTATTGCCGTCTATAGTTTAGGCTACAATCTAGTCTATAGTATATTTTATAGTTTTGTCTATTGTTTAGTCTATAGTCTAGTCTATAATAGTCTATTTAGGGTTTCTTACAGTCGGTTTTAACCAAATTTACTTTCTTATTTATTTTGGATCATTTTAGGGATTTGATTTTTTTTATTTTATCATTTTACAATCTTTCGTTTAAATGTGATGACGTTTTTTTGTGTTTTTACTCTTTAAATAAAAGCAATCAAAGCAAAAGGTGCGTCATAGATTGTTATATTAGTACTTAACATTTCACTTTTATTTACCATAAAACTATTTTGCTACACCATCCTCTTTCATTGTAAATATACAATGTAACATGTCTTTTTGTGATTTATATTTGCCAACAAACCAAAAGCATTACTATAGTACTTTGGGTTTTTGTTTCTGATAAACAGAAACAGCACAACAAATTGACATGCATGGTCACTGAAATGATTTTGTTGTTGTTGTTGTTGCTAACTACAGCCATAAATGTTTATTTAAATAATTTATTTAAAAGTTTATCATCATCATGTGTATATGAGCGAGTATGAATGTGTATTGTTTTCGTCAGAGTTTTGTTTTTTATCATTTAACTTTATTTATTTTCATTGTTTTGCAGTTTACTGCTGGTAGTTTGGTAGTTTTTGTTGTTTTAAACTTATAAAAAATGGTTGGAAGGATAGTTTAGGAACCAATATATTGAGAAACATGATAAGAAATCCTCAGCTACCTCTGGCATTTTGTTTGCTTTTTAATTTTACTTTAATTTGCAATGATTCTTATTTAATTATTATATCAATATATAAAAAATGATTAATAAGTCACGATTCTCTCAAGAATGTTGAGGTCTTGAGATCTGCTAGAAAAAGATAAGATTTCACTGATGCCAAATAATATTTTCAGATTTTATTAAAATTAAACTGTTAAACTTATATTTTTCATTTTTTTTTCATCCCTCTTTTTTAGGACCACGTTGGGCTTCATGGAATTTAGGTGTTTTCCTCTGCATACGCTGTGCTGGTATTCATCGTAATCTCGGCGTACACATATCACGTGTAAAATCGGTCAATTTGGACACATGGACCCCCGAACAGGTCATATCCCTACAACAGATGGGTAACTCCCGTGCTCGGGCCGTTTATGAGGCTCAATTACCCGATGGTTTTCGACGTCCACAAACCGATACCGCTTTAGAATCTTTCATACGTGCCAAATATGAGCATAAGAAATACTTGGCTCGTGAATGGGTGCCACCATCACCACCCAAAGTCGATTGGGCCAAGGAAATCGATGAGGAATTGGAGAGACAAAAACGTAAAAAGAAGGCGGCTCAGGCAAATACAGCCTTGGGTATTGGCGTCATAACGGGCAGTGCTGCAAATGATAAGAAATCCTCGAGTTCAGCGGCGGCTAAGTCATCACCTTTGCCGGCTCCTTTGCCCAAACCTAAACCCGGTCAGAGTGGTAGTAGTCCTAAGATACAACGTATTTCTACTAGTTCTACGGGCGCTGATAGCAATCACAGCAATGATCTATTGGGTTTAGCCTCACCCACGAAACCGGTGCAGACTTCACTGGCTGGACAGCAACAGCAGCATTCGTCAAATATAAGTGACTTACAAAATGATACTTTCAGCTGTTTCTTGAGTGCTACACCGGCTGTGAATGATAGTCAACAGCAACAACAACAATTGACCAATAATGCAAACGCCTCGCAGAATTCATTGGCCAAAGAGGAAGAAGACTTTTTCAATCAGGGTTCATTGGTTGGTACAGGCGGTGACAAAGACAAATCAGGGAAATTAACTAAGGACAGTATACTGGCATTATATGGACAGGCTCCGCCCAATCCTACGCCGGCCATGAATTTCCTACAACAACAACAGCAGGTTAATCCACAGTCGGCTATGTTTGGTGGTGCCACTGGTGCCTTTACCGGCATGGTGCCCGGAGGTTTTATGGGTGCTGGTGGTCCGGCCGCCAATCAGCAGCAACAGCAGTTTATGACACCACCCAACTCAGCTAGTATGTATAATGCACCCGTTATGACTGCCCCGGCTGCCTTTACTGCTCCCGGCATGTCGGCTTTACATATGGGTGCAGCTGGTAATAATGCCGCTAATGCGGGCTTTGCTGCCCAATTTCCTATGCAGACAGGTTTTCCACAAACCCAAACCATGGGTGGCATTATGGCCACTGGACAACCTGCTGCCGCTAATCTCATGCATACGCATAATCAACAAAGTCTTATGTCAAGTTTAGCCGTCAATCATGCACCGCTAATGTTTCCCGGTATGGCGCCCACCATGCAAAGTCAAACGAACTTTAATCATCATCAAGGTTTAATAGGTGGCTTTCCCACAGCCGCCGCCATGGGCAGTAATAGTACTGCGGCTAATACTGCTGCTACCAATAGTTTGCAGCAACAGTTTGGTAATCTTAATATCGGCAATGTATGGCAATAAATTTTGTAGTTGTTTAAACAAATTCTAATTATTATTATTATTACAATAACAACTTTCCACATACTTAAACAAAACAAAAAAAAAACTTGCCGTTTAAACGAAAACTCTGACTATCTTTGAAAGAACTTTAAAACAAACCCTTTAGATTTCCATCAAAACCTTAAACCGGGAATACATTATTTGAATGTTTTGTTTTTCTTACATTCTTTGTCTTGATAGTATTATTTAAAGAAAATAATTTGGAATAATTTCCTTTTAAAAGTTTTTTAGTAAAGTTTTCAACTCTAGACCCTCCTACATCCCCCCACCACTCTATTCCCTTACTCTTTATATTTCAGTAATTGTTTATAATTCCCTTTTTTAATATAAAGGCTTATTCTTATTATTACCTCTCCCCTTTCCCTTCGTAAACTTTTTTTTTAAACAAAACTTAAGAAACTTAATACATAATCTTGTAAAGGTTTAAATTAATTAAATTAAAAATAAACTTAATACAAAATTAAGTAAATTTTTAGCTTATACAATTAAAAAGAAAATATAAGGAAAAGAGCGTTCTTCTAACTAGTAGCACTCTTCAAACAAAACGTATATTAAATAACAATCTTGAAATAATTTCTTAATGAAATGTTGAAAAAAAAGTAATTTGTTTTGATTTTTTTTAAACCAGATTATTAATAATTATAATTATATAAAAAATAAATAAAAAATGTATAAGAAAAATTAATATATTAGTTATAAAATAAAAATAATAAAAAATGTACAAAAAAGTTAGTTTTACTGAACGATTTCAAAGCAGCTTCGACTATATAGACTAGATTATAGTCATGGCTATAGTTCAGACTATATTCATGGCTATAGTCCAGACTATAGTCTAAACTATAGTTTAGACTATAGACTAAACTATAACCCAGACTATAGACTAAACTATAACCCAGACTATAGACTAAACTATAGCCCAGACTATAGACTAAACTATAGTTTAGACTATAGACTAAACTATAGTTTAGACTACAGACTAAACTATAACCCAGACTATAGACTAAACTATAGTCCAGACTATAGACTAAACTATAGTTTAGACTATTGACTAAATTATAGTTTAGACTATAGAATATAGACTAAACTATAGTCCAGACTATAGTCTAAACTATAGTTCAGACTATAGACTAAACTATAGTATAGACTATAGACTAAACTATAGTCCAGACTATAAACTAAACTATAGTCCTGACTATATACTAAACTATAGTCCAGACTATAGACTAAACTATAGTTTACTATAGTTCAGACTATAGACTAAATTATAGTTTAGACTATAGAATATAGACTAAACTATAGTTCAGACTATAGACTAAACTATAGTCCAGACTATAGACTAAACTATAGTCCTGACTATAGACTAAACTGTAGTCCAGACTATAGACTAAACTATATATTATACTATAGACTTAAACTATAGTCCAGCCTATAGACTAAACTATAGTCCAGACTATAGACGAAACTATAGTCCAGACTATAGACGAAACTATAGTCCAGACTATAGACTAAACATAGTCCAGAATATAGACTAAACTACAGTCCAGACCTTAAACTAAACTATAGTCCATACTATAGACTAAACTATAGTCCAGACTATAGACTAAACTATAGTCCAGACTATAGACTAAACTATAGTTTAGACTATAGACTAAATTATAGTTTAGACTATAGAATATAGGCTATACTATAGTCCAGACTATAGACTAAACTATAGTATAGACTATAGACTAAACTATAGTCCAGACTATAGACTAAACTATAGTCCAGACTATAGACTAAACTATAGTCCAGACTATAGGCTAAACTATAGTCCAGACTATAGACTAAACTATAGTCCAGACTATAGACTAAACATAGTCCAGACTATAGACTAAACATAGTCCAGACTGTAGACTAAACTATAGTCCAGACAATAGACTAAACTATAGTCCATACTATAGACTAAACTATAGTCCAGACTATAGACTAAACTATAGTCCAGCCTATAGACTAAACTATAGTCCAGACTATAGACGAAACTATAGTCCAGACTATAGACGAAACTATACTCGAGACTATAGACTAAACTATAGTTTAGACTATAGACTAAATTATAGTTTAGACTATAGAATATAGGCTATACTATAGTCCAGACTTTAGACTAAACTATAGTATAGACTATAGACTAAACTATAGTCCAGACTATAGACTAAACTATAGTCCAGACTATAGACTAAACTATAGTCCAGACTATAGGCTAAACTATAGTCCAGACTATAGACTAAACTATAGTTTAGACTATAGACTAAATTATAGTTTAGACTATAGAATATAGGCTATACTATAGTCCAGACTTTAGACTAAACTATAGTATAGACTATAGACTAAACTATAGTCCAGACTATAGACTAAACTATAGTCCAGACTATAGACTAAACTATAGTTTAGACTATAGACTAAATTATAGTTTAGACTATAGAATATAGGCTATACTATAGTCCAGACTATAGACTAAACTATAGTATAGACTATAGACTAAACTATAGTCCAGACTATAGACTAAACTATAGTCCAGACTATAGACTAAACTATAGTCCAGACTATAGGCTAAACTATAGTCCAGACTATAGACTAAACTATAGTCCAGACTATAGACTAAACATAGTCCAGACTATAGACTAAACATAGTCCAGACTGTAGACTAAACTATAGTCCAGACAATAGACTAAACTATAGTCCATACTATAGACTAAACTATAGTCCAGACTATAGACTAAACATAGTCCAGACTATAGGCTAAACTATAGTCCAGACTATAGACTAAAATATAGTCCAGACCATAGACTAAATTATAGTCCATACTATAGACTAAACTATAGTCCAGACTATAGACTAAACTATAGTCCAGACTATAGACTAAACTATAGTTTAGACTATAGACTAAATTATAGTTTAGACTATAGAATATAGGCTATACTATAGTCCAGACTATAGACTAAACTATAGTATAGACTATAGACTAAACTATAGTCCAGACTTTAGACTAAACTATAGTCCAGACTATAGGCTAAACTATAGTCCAGACTATAGACTAAACTATAGTCCAGACTATAGACTAAACATAGTCCAGACTATAGACTAAACATAGTCCAGACTGTAGACTAAACTATAGTCCAGACCATAGACTAAATTATAGTCCATACTATAGACTAAACTATAGTCCAGACTATAGACTAAACTATAGTCCAGACTATAGACTAAACTATAGTTTAGACTATAGACTAAATTATAGTTTAGACTATAGAATATAGGCTATACTATAGTCCAGACTTTAGACTAAACTATAGTATAGACTATAGACTAAACTATAGTCCAGACTATAGACTAAACTATAGTCCAGACTATAGACTAAACTATAGTCCAGACTATAGACTAAACATAGTCCAGAATATAGACTAAACTATAGTTCAGACCTTAAACTAAACTATAGTCCATACTATAGACTAAACTATAGTCCAGACTATAGACTAAACTATAGTCCAGACTATAGACTAAACTATAGTTTAGACTATAGACTAAATTATAGTTTAGACTATAGAATATAGGCTATACTATAGTCCAGACTATAGACTAAACTATAGTATAGACTATAGACTAAACTATAGTCCAGACTATAGACTAAACTATAGTCCAGACTATAGACTAAACTATAGTCCAGACTATAGGCTAAACTATAGTCCAGACTATAGACTAAACTATAGTCCAGACTATAGACTAAACATAGTCCAGACTATAGACTAAACATAGTCCAGACTGTAGACTAAACTATAGTCCAGACAATAGACTAAACTATAGTCCATACTATAGACTAAACTATAGTCCAGACTATAGACTAAACTATATATTACACTATAGACTAAACTATAGTCCAGCCTATAGACTAAACTATAGTCCAGACTATAGACGAAACTATAGTCCAGACTATAGACGAAACTATACTCCAGACTATAGACTAAACATAGTCCAGAATATAGACTAAACTATAGTCCAGACCTTAAACTAAACTATAGTCCATACTATAGACTAAACTATAGTCCAGACTATAGACTAAACTATAGTCCAGACTATAGACTAAACTATAGTTTAGACTATAGACTAAATTATAGTTTAGACTATAGAATATAGGCTATACTATAGTCCAGACTATAGACTAAACTATAGTATAGACTATAGACTAAACTATAGTTAAGACTATAGACTAAACTATAGTCCAGACTATAGGCTAAACTATAGTCCAGACTATAGACTAAACTATAGTCCAGACTATAGACTAAACTATAGTCCAGACTATAGACTAAACATAGTCAGGACTATAGACTAAACATAGTCCAGACTGTAGACTAAACTATAGTCCAGACCATAGACTAAACTATAGTCCAAACTACAGACTAAACTATAGTCCAGACTATAGACTAAACTATAGTTTAGACTATAGACTAAATTATAGTTTAGACTATAGAATATAGGCTATACTATAGTCCAGACTTTAGACTAAACTATAGTATAGACTATAGACTAAACTATAGTCCAGACTATAGGCTAAACTATAGTCCAGACTATAGACTAAACTATAGTCCAGACTATAGACTAAACTATAGTCCAGACTATAGACTAAACATAGTCCAGACTATAGACTAAACATAGTCCAGACTATAGGCTAAACTATAGTCCAGACTATAGACTAAACTATAGTCCAGACCATAGACTAAATTATAGTCCATACTATAGACTAAACTATAGTCCAGACTATAGACTAAACTATAGTCCAGACTATAGACTAAACTATAGTTTAGACTATAGACTAAATTATAGTTTAGACTATAGAATATAGGCTATACTATAGTCCAGACTATAGACTAAACTATAGTATAGACTATAGACTAAACTATAGTCCAGACTTTAGACTAAACTATAGTCCAGACTATAGGCTAAACTATAGTCCAGACTATAGACTAAACTATAGTCCAGACTATAGACTAAACATAGTCCAGACTATAGACTAAACATAGTCCAGACTGTAGACTAAACTATAGTCCAGACCATAGACTAAATTATAGTCCATACTATAGACTAAACTATAGTCCAGACTATAGACTAAACTATAGTCCAGACTATAGACTAAACTATAGTTTAGACTATAGACTAAATTATAGTTTAGACTATAGAATATAGGCTATACTATAGTCCAGACTTTAGACTAAACTATAGTATAGACTATAGACTAAACTATAGTCCAGACTATAGACTAAACTATAGTCCAGACTATAGACTAAACTATAGTCCAGACTATAGGCTAAACTATAGTCCAGACTATAGACTAAACTATAGTTTAGACTATAGACTAAATTATAGTTTAGACTATAGAATATAGGCTATACTATAGTCCAGACTTTAGACTAAACTATAGTATAGACTATAGACTAAACTATAGTCCAGACTATAGACTAAACTATAGTCCAGACTATAGACTAAACTATAGTTTAGACTATAGACTAAATTATAGTTTAGACTATAGAATATAGGATATACTATAGTCCAGACTATAGACTAAACTATAGTATAGACTATAGACTAAACTATAGTCCAGACTTTAGACTAAACTATAGTCCAGACTATAGGCTAAACTATAGTCCAGACTATAGACTAAACTATAGTCCAGACTATAGACTAAACTATAGTCCAGACTATAGGCTAAACTATAGTCCCGACTATAGACTAAACTATAGTCCCGACTATAGACTAAACTATAGTCCCGACTATAGACTAAACTATAGTCCACACTATAGGTTAAACTATAGTCCACAGTAGAACCGCAACTTTCACTTCAGATTCGGCTTCGAAGCCACGATTTGGAAAATCTTTAATAGTTTTTTTTTATAATTTTACATTTATTTATATATTTTTCACTAAATTATTATACATACACTTTTTTCAGATAAATAATATTCAAAACCCTTTACTTTTTTAGTTCTTGCAATTGAAAATTCTTTTTTCTTTTTGTTAAAAGTTAATATTTAAAAAAAAAAAACAATGTTTATGGCAAGTGAACTAAAAAAAAAATTCAAAAAAATATAAAAGAATGTTTCTTTGTTTTACCATAACAATTAACAAATCTTAACTTAAACTCCAAAATAGTTTTTAATGTTACTGCTGTTGCTGTTGTTGCGGATGTCTTCTTAAGACCAACGGTTGACTAGAGGTCTCTACAACAATAGTTTTAGTCATGATATCATAGGCGGTACGGTTATTTTTAAAGAAAACCATTAGGAAAAACATGGGAAACAATAGACTTAAGATGACATTTTTGGCAACGGCACGCACGAAGGCTCTTTTAAAATTTGGCGTTTCGGCAGGGAATAGCAGGGCGCGCATTTGAACACGAGCCGCCTGGAAGCCCAATTGTATTTGAGGTATGGGTTGGGCGGGTAGGCCATTGTTGGGTAAAGGCAACATGGCCTCTACATATTTAATGCTCAAACCCATAATATGTTTACCCACCGAGGCGCCATTGAAGAAGGTTGTGAGGACGGCCTCATATAGACAAACAAACAGTTTGGTGGCAATTTCAAAGGCTAAAAGATCCGAGGAAAAGGCTAAAAAGTCCATAGAGTATAAAAGGGCACCAGCAAAATCTTCATTATCCATGGCCTTATTTAAAACATCTTTATCCATATCCATCATGAGATTATAGCCAAAAACATTGGTCACCACAAAGATAACCACAATTTTCAAAAACAACATTATAATCATATCTATAACCTCGGCCACAGCTCTTTTCCAAAATGGGGCCACTACATACTCATAGCCACCATTGCGATTTATAATCTCAGCCTGGGCCTGATCGTTTATAAGCCTCAAGCCGAAACCATTAAATACACCTACACCAGCAGCGCCCGGATTAAAGTTGGCATTTAAGTTATTGTTATTTAAGGGTGGTGGTGGAATGTTGTTTTGAACGTTAGCTGTGGGTATTTGTAGACCAGGCATAAAACTGCCGGGAGCTGGTTGTGAGAACAGTTGGGGATAGGAGGTCATAAAATACCAAGGAAACATGGCCATGGCATTTTGTGAAATGTTGGCATGTTTAACCCATTCATTTAGGCTGGCAAAATAAGCCTCCTTGGTGGATATCTCTCGAGGCTGACCTGCATCTTTGTTATTGGCCACATCTGTTGGTTTTGTTGTTGTGCTGCTAGCAGCAGGTGTTGTTATTGTTGCTGACACCGATGAAGTTGATGACGACGTAGTAGTTGTTGCTTCTGCCGATTCCTTTTCATTAACTTTATTTTCCTCTTTTTCGCTCATTTTATTTTTGGATTTTTTTTTTTCACCTTTTACTCTTGAGAACTTATGTTCGAGTTCTTTTTAGCTAAAAATTCAAGTTGTTTATGGAATTTAAACATAAGGACACGTTAGTATTTTGAATTATTTATTAACACTTACCTATTTAAAATCGTCATTAATCACACAAAAAAAAGAACAACATACAAATTGTATGTATAAAATAGCAAACAAGAAATAGAAAAATTAGGAAAAAGAGGGGGATGAATTAAGAGAACAGTGTGGCTAACTTTAGTTTATGTTCAAAAAGCTAATATCTGTATAAATTATGTTTTACATATAATTTTTCAATAATAAAGAGATTATATTTATTTACGGTATTCTAAAATTTAAATTAATGTTTAAAGTATATAACCTTTTTTGTTGATATAGTAAAAAATTAAAATTTTTAATTGTTTAAAGATTAAAGCAAAAAAAAAAAAACGCTAAATCAACATTACTAAAATATACAGATGTCATAATTTTCTAACAGCTGTGTTAATGAGTTGCCGTATAGTAGAAAAAAACATCAGATTTCAATTAGCGATTTTTATAGTTTAAATAATATTTATCCGTTTTACATCTAAATTTTGTTGTTAACTAAAGACTATCCTTTAGAGTAGATAGGATTATAAACTGAAGGCTAGACTACATTATTGTCCAGACTAGAGACTAGATTATAGTTCAAACTTTCGTCTTGTCTATTTTCTGGACTGTAGAGCATAGTTCTAATTATAATCTACAGTTTAGACTATAACCAAGTCTGTTGTCTGGATTATAATCTAGTATATAGCCTATATCATAGTCTGGGCTATAGTCTATTGTTCGGACTAAATAAACAAGTTTTAGATTTTCTTTAAAACACTTTACAATCTCCCCTTGATTTATTAATATTACAAAAAATACAATAAAAACACTCTACTTAACTTGAACATTTTTCAAGGACTGGGCCACTACATTACCCTTGCCGGGCACATGTAAAGCGGCACCCTTAAAACATGCCACCAAATCATCATTTGTTTTCAAGTCAGGGGCACATGTCTCAAAGATTTTCTTTTTGGGATTCATTTGAGCATCAGGTGTACGGGGATAACCTTCACAGTGTACTAGATCACCGGGTACAGCACCAGCGGGAGGACTTAAGACCTCAACTTTTTCCGGTGTCGAGGCACACATGACCATAGCTTCGGAGGTAATGCCACGCATTTTGGCAGGTTTAAGGTTACACATTACAACAACCATACGATTTTGCATTTCTTCGAGGGGAACAAATTTAACCAGACCAGAGACAACAGTACGGGGTTGGGCTTCACCACAATCGATTTTCTCTAAATACAAACTATCGGCATCGGGATGGCGTCCTACCTCAACAATTTTACCTACACGCAAATCTAAACGTCTGACATCTATGGGTAATTCAGCGGCGGCCGCTTCTTTATTGTCTGCAGTGGCTGGTTTTTCTTTTTTGGGTTTCTTTTCTTTCTGGGGTTTTTGTTTAGCTTCTGGTGCGCCAGCCGCAGCGGTAACTTCAGCTACAGGCGCTGGGTTGGCTTTGGTGGCATCAGTACATAAGTTGCGAGCTCCAGGCACAGCTATTTGCTTTTTGCCATTCTTTATTTCCAAGGCAATCAATTGGGCTTTAGCCAATTCCACTTGTTTTTGTAGCTGAGCATTTTCCGCTCTAAGTTCTAACTTTTTGCGGCTAATAAGTTCTCCACGAATGGCTGTTAACTAGAAAATTGAAGAGAAAAATGTTTGGGAAATTATTTTTATAGATTCTAACCCAACTTTTGGTTGTTTTGCTTTTTCTTCATCATTTGTATATTTCTCTGTGTTGTTGAGTAACTTACTTCACTTTTCAGAGATTCTATAATCTCTTGACTGCGTTTATTGTTTTCCACTACTTGTTCCAAGGAAACCATTTTATTGTGAGGCGTTTTTAATAACTTAGGAAAGCTCGAACGTAGCAATGTTGAACCGGTGGCAAAAATACGATTCATGAGGAGAATAACTACAGAGAACTGGGAGACGGTGAGTATGATTTAATAAAAAAAGTGTTGCCGGATGTTATTAATTATTGTTAACACAAATATTTGACTATTTGCAATTCCCACTTTTATCAATTTATGAGTAGACTATATATAGTTTTTAGACTACACTTTATACTGGACTATAGACTATACTATATAGTATACTAGATTATAAACAAGACTATAGACTAGACCAGACTATAGACAGGCCAATATACTAGACTATAGTATAGACTAGACTAGAGACTTGATTATGGACTAGACTCTAGTCTATAGACTTGACTATAGAGTATACTATAGACTAGATTATACTCCATTTACAATACAGCGAAATCTAGTAATTATGAGATTTCTAGCAAATCCATCTGATTTTTACTAGATTTGCCATACAAAACAATCTTCTTCATTAGTAGATTTCGGCAAAATCTACTCAAAATCTAAGAAAAGTAGAAATGCAACTCTGTTTTTTGCCAAATAGTACTAAAAAATACGACGCTGCAGAAGAAACAATGACAATAGAAACAAAACAAACGAAAATAAACTAATTTTTCAAGAAAATTTCCTACAAAACGGAAAACAGGAATGAAAAGTGTTTTGAAGGTAAAATATAACGTGATATTTAAATGCCGAATTCTGTACAATATGTAAAATACTAGTAAATATTTTATATTTTTCATTATTTTTTGCTTTTAAACAAGCGCAGTTGGCTGCAGCAGAAATACAAGCCGTTGCAAAATGATCGCCAGCGGCGGCGCAACCATTCTAGGTCGGTGGCGTTGGCTTATTATAGAAAATATCGTCGGCGGTTAAATTGTTGGCTTAATTTAACTTTTTCTTCTGAAATTGACCTTATAAGCTTCTATTTTATTGAAAAATCTCTGTAAAATAGTCTGTTATATAGAAACCTGTCTCTATATAAGGTTTTTCTGCAAATGAAAATGGACATTATTATAGTATAGTGGTGAAATTATTTTCCGAAATACATGTACGATTCCAATCTTTATCAGCGGCTACGTTTAAGCCGGCTTAGCTTTTGAGAGAAGGAAGTCGGCGGTGGCGCGGCTTGCAAAATATTACCGTCGGCCAGCCGCCGACGATTTGAGCCGTCTCGGCTTGTATCTCTAATTTGAAGATGAAATTTACAGAACAGTTGTCGATATACTACAAATGTCAAATGCTTATTATAGCTAAGAAGAAAACTACTTTCAAAAGAAAAGCAACAAAAACAATATAAAGAATTTGACATTTAAAATATCAAATTTCTGCTGTTGTCGATGTGTTTTGCTGCTGGCGTAAATTCCCTTTGATTTTTGTGTGTGTATTTAACATAATAGATTGTGCAGCGGGCGAGTGTACTTTGTCGTGTTTGTAGTTTGGAAAATTTTTCATTTTGGGTGTGTATTTTTTTTGTTTTACCATTTGGCATAGAGAAAATTTTTTTAAGAAAAATCATTAAATAACTAACAACATTTAACTAAAAAAAAAATCTAACAGCTTGCTGGTGTTTGCAATTGTGTAGGCTAAGGAAAAGGTAAAAATTAACAAATGATTAACTGTTTATTGTGAAAAAAAGTATTAACAAAAAGCTATTGGCAAAATGTTTGTGAATGGTGAAATTGTAAAAAAAATGGCTACTAAACGATTTATTAGAACATATTTTACATGTAAAGTTATTTATTTGGCTAAAATTAAAGAAACTTATAATTTTTGTAGTTTTTTTTTTTTGGAAATTCTAGAAGTTTTTCTTTTTGTGTGAATTTTAGCAGAAAATGGTATGAGTGTGTGTTTTTTTGTTCAATTGTTTAATTTAAACCCCCTCTCTCTTTGCTTTTTTTGTATTTGCTCTTTGATTTTTTTTTGTGTTTTTGTAATTGCTTTGATATTATTGCTTTTGCATTGTCTTTGCCACTCCCTTAAAAAGTTGTTGGAAAAACACACTTGCAAGCCTCCCCTTTGTTGGATTCAGTCCTTAGGGGATTAATAGAATACTATAAAGGGGGCATGGGGCTGAAGGGTATATAAGCCTTCATCGATTTGTTAATTTCACAGTGTTTTATTTTTAGGCCACAACACATTAGCAACGTTAATATTAGAATTTCTAACTGATATCAAAACATTTGTAGGTGAATTTCAGTAAATTAAGAAATTTTATTGAAATATTTATAATTAAGACCGATAAATTTATCATTCATTTCAAATAATTTATAGTTTTAAAACTATTTTCAAAATAATGTATAGAGTTCATGTGTCTACTTGTATCATCAGCACTACTATCATCATCAGTCTGTCTGACCTTAAAGTATATTGTTGAATATATCCTCACCCCCTAACTGGGTTAAGTTTGCCTTGCTGTGCTTGCATCTCTATTTATTAATGGAGGTTTTGCTCTACTGCTCTAGCTCATTGGGTATTGGGTGTTTGATTGTTCTTTTATTTTCTTTCATGATTTCCGGAAATTTTTATACACACACATGTCTTGCTATTTTAATAGATAGTTTTTGTGTTTTATTTGTTTGTTTCCCAACTATTCAATTAATTCAATAATGGCCTGTTAGAGCAGGGTACAGTACTGTTTAATAAATATTTTGTAACATAATAGTCCTTCTTTTAGTTTAGTCATGATAGAAAGACATTGTTTTATTACTAAAGTCGTCAATTATTTACTAGAAAACTAGATGGACTTCAGAAAACAGATAAACGTTTGACCTCCTAAATAATTTTTTTTATAAAAAACTTTGTCTTAAGGTGTAATTTTAAAAAAATAAGACAATAAACTAATAGATTTGTTCAAAATTAAAAAAAATATTGATTTTTTGATGAAATATTGTTTTTTTTTTTTTGGTAAAATATCGATTTTATGAAGAATTTTAATATTTTCCTGATATTTAGATTTTTTTGTGAAAAGTGAACTTTTTTGGTGAAATATTGATTTTTTGGTGAAATGTGAATTTTTCCATGAAACGTAGATTTTTCATTGAAATATAAAATATCGGAATAATGTAGATGTTTTAATAAAATTTATATTTTTTGGTGAAAAGTGTACTATTTTGGCGAAATATGGATTTTTCGAAGAAATGCGTGAAACATCGATTTTTCATTGAAATATAAAATATGTATCAGTTTTGATATTTTAATTTTTTTTTATTGAAAAGTGAATTTTTTTTTGGTGAAATATGGAGTTCTGTGTAAAAAGTTTTGCTTTTTCAGTACAAAGTGATTTTTTTCGGTGAAATATAGATTTTTTGTTGAAAATATTGAGTTTTAGTAAAAAGAGTTATTTACAGTATATTTATAAAATAGACCAAAGGTCAGTCTATAGAATAGACTATAGTTCAGATTATAGACAGACTTAAGTCAAGACTATAAAACAAACTGTAGTCCAGACTAAATAATAGACAAAAGTCCAGACTATAGAATATACTATAGAATAGCCTATAGTCCAGACTAAAGAATAGACTATAGTCCAGACTAAAGAATAAACTACATTACAGACTATAGACTAGACTATAGTCCAGACTATAGACAAGACTATAGTCCAGACTATAAAATAGCCTATAGTCCAGACTATAGTACAGACTAAAGAATATACTATAATCCAGACTATAGAATAAAATACATTCCAGACTATAGACTAGATTATAGTCTATTCTATAGACTAGACTATAGTCCAGACTATAGACTAGACTATAGTCCAGACTATAGACTAGACTATAGTCCAGACTATAGACTAGACTATAGTCCAGACTATAGACTAGACTATAGTCCAGACTATAGACTAGACTATAGTCCAGACTATAGACTAGACTATAGTCCAGACTATAGACTAGACTATAGTCCAGACTATAGACTAGACTATAGTCCAGACTATAGACTAGACTATAGTCCAGACTATAGACTAGACTATAGTCCAGACTATAGACTAGACTATAGTCCAGACTATAGACTAGACTATAGTCCAGACTATAGACTAGACTATAGTCCAGACTATAGACTAGACTATAGTCCAGACTATAGACTAGACTATAGTCCAGACTATAGACTAGACTATAGTCCAGACTATAGACTAGACTATAGTCCAGACTATAGACTAGACTATAGTCCAGACTATAGACTAGACTATAGTCCAGACTATGGACTAGACTATAGTCCAGACTATGGACTAGACTATAGTCCAGACTATGGACTAGACTATAGTCCAGACTATGGACTAGACTATAGTCCAGTCTAAAGAATAGTCTACAGTCCAGACTATAGAATAGACTATAGACAGGACTATAGTCCAGACTATAGACAGGACTATAGTTCAGACTATAGACAAGACTATAGTCCAGACTATAGACAAGACTGTTGTCCAGACTATAGTCTAGTTTATAGTCTGGAATATAGTCTGGACTATAGTCTGGATTATAGTCTGGACTATAATCTAGTCTATAGTCTGGACTATAATCTGGACTATAATCCAGACTATAGACTAAACTATAGTCCAGACTATAGTCCAGACTATAGTCTAGACTATAGACTAGACTATAGTCCAGACTATAGTCCAGACTATAGTCCAGACTATAGACTAGATTATAGTCCAGACTATAGACTAGACTATAGTCCAGACTATAGTCCAGACTATAGTCCAGACTATAGAATAGACTATAGTCCAGACTATAGAATAGGCTATAGACTAGAGAAGATATTATAGTCAATACTGTAGAGAGTGTCCTGACTAAGGACTTTTCTAGAAAGAGTTTCATCTTTTTCTACAGAAAAGTGACTTCTTTAGACTCTTTTCTATATAAAAGTGTCTTCTTTAGCCTCTTTTCTATAGAAAAGTGTCTTCTTTAGCATCTTTTCTATAGAAAAGTGTCTTTTTTTAGCATCTTTTCTATAGAAAAGTGTATTCTTTAGCATCTTTTCTATAAAAAAGTGTATTCTTTAGCATCTTTTCTATAGAAAAGTGTATTCTTTAGCATCTTTTCTATAGAAAAGTGTATTCTTTAGCATCTTTTCTATAGAAAAGTGTCTTCTTTAGCCTCTTTCCTATAGAAAAGTGTCTTCTTTGGCCTATTTTCTATAGAAAAGTGTCTTCTTTAGCCTCCTTTTTATAGAAAAGTGCCTTCTAAAAACTAAATCTTATAGCAGAAAGTATCTTCTTTGGTTTTTTTTTATGGAAACGTATGTCTTTTGAACTCTTTTTATAAGAAGTTTTCCTTTATACAGTTTTATATAGAAATATGTCTTCTTCGGACTCTTTTCTATATAAAAGAGCTTGTCCTTGTACACTTTTATACAAAGCTTCTTTAGATTATTTGCTTAAGGTTTATGAAACTGTGTTTTTGTCCATTTAATTAAAAAGTTCTTTAAATATTCATTAAAAAGTGTGTGTTAAAGGTAAACAAAGGATTTTAACACTTGTTCCTTGTTTGTTTATAATTTATTTATATTTTAAGTTTAAGGCTTTTGTATGTTAAATTGGCTTTAACAAAATGTATTATAAAACTACTAACTTTATTATTAACATTTTATGTTTGTGATTAACTTTATGATTCATGCTTTATGTAGCTAAATTAATAATTAATTTCTGTATATATGTATGTGTGTCCCTGTATTTATTTATAAAGTATTTATTGGTATAGTTTCCCTCCCAAAATATTTTATTAAATTTTGTCTGTTTTTCTTTTGATTTTTTTTCTTTTTCTATTCCCAAAATTATAAATTTGAATTACAGCTTTTTTCTCATAATAAACTAAATAAAAAAAAAGTGACACATTTTTATAACAACGCTTAATTTAGTTGCACTCATTTCTAACCAAAAAAAAAAACACCAAATCAACCAACCAAAACAACCACCCATCCAACCAAAACAATAACTACTCCCACTACATTATTAAAAAGTAGATTTTAACGTTAACCTAGAAAAACCATAACCACAAATTTTCCACCATAGGACTATCAGAGACAGCAGTTATGGACGTTATGTCTTCTTCATTGCAACAGCAGCGTATTATTGTCGAACAATTGAGACGTGAAGCGGCTGTAGATCGTCAACCTGTTTCCGAATCTTGTGCTGCCATGATGCGTTATATATCGCAACATGAACAGGAAGATTATCTTTTGACTGGTTTCACTAGTCAAAAAGTTAATCCTTTCCGTGAGAAATCCTCTTGCAGTGTACTCTAAATTAAACTTATAATGATGAACAAGAAGAGACAATGGTGGAGGAGAAGAAGGAGGAGTAGAATGAAGATGAAGGAAGAAAGCAGCAGCAGTTTATGGATGAATTAAATGTTTAAGTAAAGGAGGTTTTATAGAAAGTAAGCAAGCAGCAGGAATATATAAAGGAATTTGTTTTAAATTTTTGTTAAAAATTTAGAAATCACCACCTAATAGAACTTACTTCTAGAACAACCTCTTCAAAAACAACAACAACAACAACAACATTTAAACACTAAACAATTTTTGCAAAGAAAACTTTAAAATTCAATAAAAAATATAATTTTCTACCACAACAAAAAAACAACATCTACTAATTTACTTTAAAAAGAAATACAACAACAACAATAAACTTTGAAAACCCCCCCCTCCCCAGAATGTTTTAGAAAGCAACGAAGTAATGATTAAATAGCAACAATTAGTTTAAACCAAAAACCAGCTAAAAGAAAGGATTTATTAACACAACAACTTATTCTGTTTTTATGATTAATATTAAACCAAAAGGCAACAAAAACAACAACCAAGTTATTAATCATAAACTACATATTTAACTTAAACAATATATATCGTAAATTTATAAAAAAAATAACAACAACTATTTATAAATTATATATATATCTATACATCTTCTATATATGAAAAAAAAAACAACAATAGCATTATTATTATTATATATATATACAAAAGAAAGGAAATATCAAGTATATCTTAAACAATAACAACAAATATATATCATATATAAGATCTCTAGTTATTTATATATAAAAACAAAAGAATAATAAAACCAAATAACCAAAACATAAATAGTATTAATACAACTTCACCACGAGATGGTCATTTAAAAGTTAAAACCTTTATTATCATATGAAATTTTCTAAAATTAATAAAATACTTAAAAAATAATAATATTAAATAACTAATATTTGCCTTAAAATAGGGAAAACACATTAAAAAACCAAAATTCAAAAGTGAAAAAGAAATTTATAAGGAAAATACTTCTTATTCTCTAATATAAAACACAATTTTTGAAATAAATTGCTATTTTCTTTAATAAACCTAAACAAATGTTAACGTTTACCCTAACTACCACCGGCATTTCCAAAGTATCATTTCTTTGAAAGTTTCTATTGAAAGTTTTCTTTCAAAATAAACAAAATCTGTAAGAAAATTTAAAAAATTCATTCAAAATTCAGTCTAATAAAGAGTTATTTAACTTAAAAAGGCTCTTAGCTATAGACCAAAAAAGTCCTTACTATAGAAGGTAAACTTCGCAAGACTTTTTGCTAAAGAAAAGTTTCTTCATAGGACTTTTTTCTATAGAAATTCGGCTTCCTTAGACGTTTTTCTATAGAAAAGTGTATTCTTGAGACTCTTTCTATAGAAAAGTGTCTTCTTCTATAGAAACGTGTCTTCTGGAGATTATTTTCTATAGAAAATTTTATTATTGAGACTATTTTATACAGAAACGTGACTTCTTGAGACTCGTTTCTATAGAAAAGTGTATTCTTTAGACTCGTTTCTATAGAAAAGTGTCTTCATTAGACTCTTTTCTATAGAAAAGTGTCTTCATTAGACTCTTTTCTATAGAAAAGTGTCTTCTTGAGACTCTTTTCTATAGAAAAGTGTCTTCTTGAGACTCTTTTCTATAGAAAAGTGTCTTCTTGAGACTCTTTTCTATAGAAAAGTGTCTTCTTGAGACTCTTTTCTATAGAAAAGTGTCTTCTTGAGACTCTTTTCTATAGAAAAGTGTCTTCTTGAGACTCTTTTCTATAGAAAAGTGTCTTCTTGAGACTCTTTTCTATAGAAAAGTGTCTTCTTGAGACTCTTTGTCTTCTTCTATAGAAACGTGTCTTCTGGAGATTATTTTCTATAGAAAATTTTATTATTGAGACTATTTTATACAGAAACGTGACTTCTTGAGACTCGTTTCTATAGAAAAGTGTATTCTTTAGACTCGTTTCTATAGAAAAGTGTCTTCATTAGACTCTTTTCTATAGAAAAGTGTCTTCATTAGACTCTTTTCTATAGAAAAGTGTCTTCTTGAGACTCTTTTCTATAGAAAAGTGTCTTCTTGAGACTCTTTTCTATAGAAAAGTGTCTTCTTGAGACTCTTTTCTATAGAAAAGTGTCTTCTTGAGACTCTTTTCTATAGAAAAGTGTCTTCTTGAGACTCTTTTCTATAGAAAAGTGTCTTCTTGAGACTCTTTTCTATAGAAAAGTGTCTTCTTGAGACTCTTTTCTATAGAAAAGTGTCTTCTTTAGACTCTTTTCTATAGAGAAGTGTCTTCTTTAGACTTTTTCCTATAGAAAAGTGTCTTCTTTAGACTCTTTTCTATAGAAAATTGTCTTCTTTAGATTCTTTTCTATAGAACAGTGTCTTCTTTAGACTCTTTTCTATAGAAAAGTGTCTTTTTTAGACTCTTTTCTATAGAAAAGTGTCTTCTTTAGACTCTTTTCTATAGAAAAGTGTCTTCTTTAGACTCTTTTCTATAGAAAAGTGTCTTCTTTAGACTCTTTTCTATAGAAAAGTGTCTTCTTTAGACTCTTTTCTATAAAAAAGTGTCTTCTTTAGACTCTTTTCTATAGAAAAGTGTCTTCTTTAGACTCTTTTCTATAGAAAAGTGTCTTCTTTAGACTCTTTTCTATAGAAAAGTGTCTTCTTTAGACTCTTTTCTATAGAAAAGTGTCTTCTTTAGACTCTTTTCTATAGAAAAGTGTCTTCTTTAGACTCTTTTCTATAGAAAAGTGTCTTCTTTAGACTCTTTTCTAAAGAAAAGTGTCTTCTCTTTTTCTTTTTCTTTTCTATTGTAAATTCTATTGGAAATTTCTGTTCCTAATTAAACATTTCTTTTCAGAATTGAACATTTCTCTTAGAAATTTGTTTTAAATTTAAAAATTTTGTTCAAATTTGAACATTTTTATTCTAATTTTGAAAATTTCTTTTAGAATTTGAAAATTTATATTCGAATTTGTAAATTTCTATTCGAAATTGTTAATTTCTATTCGAAATTGTTAATTTCTATTCGAAATTCTTAATTTATTTTTGAATTTGAAAATTTCTTTAAGAATTTGAAATTTTGAATTTATTTTCGAAATTGAAATTTTTAATTAAAAATTATTAATAAATAAATTCTTAATTTCTTTTCGAAATAGAAAATTTCTATTCGAATTTGAAAATTTATTTTTGAAATGAATGAAAAATGAAATTCTTAATTTCTATTAGAAGTTGAAAATTTATATTCGAGTTCGAAAATTTCTTTGACGATATGGAACATTTTTATTCAAATTTGAAAATTTCAGTTCAAATTTGAACATTTCGATTCGAAATTGAAAGTTTTTTTTGAATTCGAAAAATTTCTGTTTAGAATTGAAAATTTCTTTACGAATTTAAAAATGTGTCTTCAAATTTGAACGTATTTTTTCGAATTTGAAATCTTTTTTTCGAAATTTGAAAATTTCTTTACGATTTTGAAAATTTCTTTACGAATTCGAAAATTTCTTTCGAAATTTGAAAATTTCTTTTCGAATTTGAAAATTATTTTTCAGAATTTGAAAATTATTTTTTAGAATTTGAAAATTTCTTTTCGAATTGGAAAATTTATTATGGAAATTGTTAAAATCTTTTCGATATTGAAAATTTATGGAAAATTTTGTGTCAAAATTAATGATTTCTTTTTAAAATTAGAATTTTATACTGAATTTTGAAAGTTTCTATGGAAAACGTTAACAACTTTACTTATTTAAACTGCTTTTTAAATGTCCATCTCTAATATTTTACACAAACCTAAACATATTTTAATAATGCTACTTTTACTCTAAAAAAAAACATTGTCATTTTTCATTAGTTTTTAAAAGAAAATAAAAAAATTTTAAAACAATTCAATAAAAAAATATTTCATAACCAAACACCAACGTCAATAAAACAAATTTCAAATGGAACTTCAACAATAATACGTTTTAAAGAAAAACAAACTTACTCTCTCTCTCACCCAAATTAAAAGAAACTCTCCCTGAAAACTAAACATTTTACAAAATTACCAAACAGCAATAATATGACAAATTTTTTTATTAAAATGTTTTGTTTGGAATTTTTTTTTTTTTGAAACAAAACAAATTGTTGTCCTAGTATCTACTAACAGGACCTTTAAACAAGCAAACGTAACGTAAAAGCAAACAAATTATTAACATATTTTATTAAAAAATATATAAATTAATATTAAAAAAAAAAAAAAAAAAAAACAAAAGTTAAGAGTTTTTGATTAATATTAACAATTTCTCCCATATTTATAAAAAAAACGAATATTTCTTAAAATATTTATATAAAAAATTTGCTTAGCATGTATTTAGTAATATTATTAACAACAACAATTTAAACTCAATATATTTATTATTTAACTTAAAACTTTTTCAATATTTAATTAATATACAAAAGAAACCCCTAACAAAGCAACAAAAAAAGTTAAACATGTTTATTATAAAAGAATTAAACCAAAAACAAGTAATATTTATTAAAAATAATTAATCAAAAATTAAAAAAAAATTAACACACAAAATATAAAATATTTTAATATTTTGTTTCACATTTTTTTCAAAACTCTTAAAAATAAATATTACACTTATTAAAAAAATATATATTTAAATAATTTAAAAGCGCGCGTTTAAATTAATGTTAAAAACAAATAATATATATTTTTTTCTAGCAGCTCCCAAAATAAGCTTTAACAAATATTAGTAGTTTCATTTAAAAAAAGAAAAAAAAAAAACAAAAAAAAAAATACTAGTTTCAATTGTTAATTATATTATAACTATAACCAAAAGTAATTTAATTAAAAATTTAAAGAAACAAAATTAATTAAAGTGAACATCGTAACAATAATTTTAAGTCTACAAAATGAATGGAAAGTCAGGGCAAAGTTTTTTTTTTTTCAAAAAAGAAAATTTTCAAAATGTTTTTTTTTTATTAGATAAAGTTGGAAGAGTTTTTTTTATTAAAACAAATCTTAATCTGAATGTCTTAATTTTTAATTTTGTGTGTTGTAAAAAATGGATTGAAACAAAATGTTTTGAAAAAAATGAAGAAATTTCAAAATAAAATTGAAATTTTTTAAACGATATTGGAAATTTCTATAGGAATTTATAGATTTTCAAAATTTTAATACAAAATAGAAAATTTCTTTACAAAATAGAAAATTTTTATTCAAAATTTGAAAATTTTTATTAAAAATTTGAAAATTTTTATTCAAAATTTCAAAATTTTTATTCAAAATCGCATAATTTCAATACGGCATTGAAAATTTTTATTCAAAATTGTAAATATTTATATGAAATTGTAAATTTCTAATTGAAAATTTTAATTTCTATACGAAATTGTAAATTTCTATACGAAATTGTAAATTTCTATACGAAATTGTAAATTTCTATTCGATATTTGAAAATTTTTATTGGATATTGAAAATTTCCATTTCAAATTCAATATTTCTATACGAAATTGTAGATTTCTATTCGATTATTTGACAATTTTTAATGGAAATTGAAAATTTCTATTCGAATTTAAACATTTTTATTCGAATTTGAAAATTCCTATTTGAAATTGAAAATTTCTATACAAAATTGAAAATTTCTATACAAAATTGAAGATTTCTATACGAAATCGAAAATTTCTATACGAAATTGAAGATTTCTATACAAAATTAAAAACTTCTATAATAAATTGAACATTTTCATTCAGAACTGAATATTTTTATTCGAATTTTAAAATTTGATTATGAAAATTTCTATACGAAATTGAAAATTTCTGTATGAAATTGAAAATTTCTGTATGAAATTGAAAATTTCTGTATGAAATCGAAAATTTCTGTATGAAATTGAAAATTTCTATACGAAATTGAAAATTTTTATACGAAATTGAAAATTTCTATATGAAATTGAAAATTTCTATTTGAAATTGAAAATTTTTATATGTAATTGAAAATTTCTATTTGAAATTAAAAATTTCTATACGAAATTGAATATTTCTATACGAAATTGAAAATTTCTATACGAAATTGAAAATTTCTATTTGAAATTGAAAATTTTTATATGTA